CCTATGTTTTCCTCTAGGATGTTTATTATATCTTGTCTTATGTTTCAGTCTTTGATCCATTTTGAGTTGATTTTTGTGTATGTTGTGCATGAGTGTTCTAGCTTCATTGTTTTACATGCTGAACACTATTTTATTTTTATTGTTGCCATCCTAGTGGATGTGAAGTGGTATCTCACTGTGGTTTTGATTTGTATTTCTCTTTTGGCAAATGTTGTTAAGCAACTTTTCATGTGCTTATTGAGTTATATCTTCTTTGGAGAAATGTCTGTTCAGATCCTTTGCCTGTTTCTTAATTGAATTGTCTTTTTGCTATTGAGTTGTAAGGTTTTTACATATTCTAGATAGAAGTCTTTGATCAGATTTATGATTTATAATTGGCATAAATGTAAGTATTTATTTCTGGGCTCTCAGTTCTATTCCATTAATTTGTATCTGTCTATGCTGGTACTGCACTGTCTTAATTACTTTAGCTTTGATAGTAAGTTATAAAATCAGGAAGTATCAGTTCTCTAACTTTGCTATTTGTCAAGCTTGTTTTGGATGTTCTGGGTCCCTTGAATTTCCATACAAATCTTAGGATCACTTGTCTACTGCAGAGAAGCCAGCTGGGATTTTGATAGGTATTGCATTGAATCTGTAGGTCAATTTAAGTATGGCCATCTTAACAATACTAAGTCTTTCAGTCTATGAATGTGTACATCTTTCTATTTATTTTGGTCTTTAATTTCTTTCTAAAATGTTTCGTAGTTTTCAGTATACAAGTCTTACACATCGTTGGTTAAATTTTATTCTTAAGTGTTGTATTCTTATTGATGCGGTTGTAAGTGAAGTTGTTTCTTAATTTCATTTTCAGTTTGCTCATTACTACTGTATAGAAATGCAATTGGTTTTTGTGTAGTAATCTTGTAACCTGCAACTTTGTTGAACTTGTTTTATTATTCTTTAAAAAATTTAGTGGATTCTTATGGGGTTTCTATAGAAGATTGTGGCATCTGAAAATGAGACAGTTTTACTTATTTTCCAGTCTGGATGCCTTTTATTTCATTTTCTTGTCTAATTGTCATGGCTAGATCCTTAAACACAGTATGAAGTGGTGTGAGTAGATTCCTTGACCCCCTACCTTTTACTCCCTTTTTTCTTCAGTTCTGAATGCTTTTGCTCCTGCTTTGATACTGTACTTGTAACTATAATTGAGTCGTCCATGCTTTGTATGTCTCCTTTCAAAGAATGAAAACAATAAACAATGTTTAAAGAAGTATGGCTTAAAAACATTGGTCATTGCTCAATGTGCTGTCATTACATTTCCTTTTCTATAATTCTGAAGCCAAAACTCCAAAGTCACTGAAAGAATATTCATATATATATTCTCTACCAAATACCCATATTCATGCCAAATGCTCATATTCATTTCAGTTTATTTCATATTTATATCATGCTTTCTTGTACAGAATTTTTCCTTGTGGTTTCTAATTTCTTTCTTTTCTTCTCATTAGAAAAAGAAACCAAACCTATGCTGTCATCACTGTATCTTGTATATTTTTCAACTTCTGTCATATCCTCTGCATTTTCTTCTATTCTTC